AACCGGAACTAAGGAGCGAGGAGACGAGGAATATACGAAACAGTCTTTAGGAAACACATCCACGTAACGAGTAGTTCGGACAAAAGGGAAACTGAACAGGCAGGAACTTAAATACAAGGGTAATTAATAGAACACAGCTGAACGGAATCATAATTAAACTAAACAAGGACAGGGAAATGACCAAATAAGAGAACACAGAAAGGCACATGAGGAGCAAAACACACACAAAACACGGACCAGAGTCTGACACCTAATTAGAAATTTTTTTTAAAACTTTGTCTTTCTCTTTATTTATTCCTTCCCTTTCTAGCTTGTACTTATTTGAATAATGCCTAAAACTTGGTATTACAAGCACTTCCTGTGTCTGTTTGCCTCTTTAAGAAGAATTGCTTTATGTATTCCCCAATTGTAAGTCGCTTTGGATGAAAGCGTCTGCAAAATGACTAAATGTAAATGTAATGTAAATGTACTTTACAAGAAATGTATTTTGTCAGAAAAGCACAACAACCAAAATTACCACAAAGACAGTTGGTTCCCAGTGGTCAAATAACTTCAGCAGAAGTGAAAGTGTTTTTATTGCTCAATAATAGGTCAATAATTGCTCAATAATAGATTTTTTCTCATAATAAGACTTAGGGGACCCACTTTATATTAAGTGGCCTTAACAACTATGTACTTACATTTAAATTAATAATTTGGTACAATGCACTTATTGTGTACATACATGTTTTTACATTGTACTTATATTTTAATAATACCTGCATGTAATTACATCTGTAATTCATTTCTGTAATTACATTTATAATTACACAGTTGACCCATCCCTTACACCTACCCATACCAACAAACCTGTCCCTAACCTTACCCATATCCCAACTCAATAGCAGCAAAAGTGTTTTGCAATACAATATGAACACAATAAGTACATTGTACTTAATTTTTGATGTAAGTACATAGTAGTTAAGGCCACTTAATATAAAGTGGGGCCGACTTAGGATGTCAGACTCTGTTCCGTGTTTTGTGTTTTGCTCCCCACGTGTTCCATGACCCAGTTTTCCCTCATGTTTAATTATTGTTTCATTAGTTCCAGGTGTGTCTCGTCATCCCATCCTCTAGTCATGTCTATTTAAAGTGTTTCCTGTTTTGAGTTCTCTGTCCGGTATTGTATATGTCAACCTCTCCTGCTATGTGTGTTTTCCTGGTTCCCTGGATATAATTAAAGTCTCCTTATTGATGTACTCCTCGTCACCTCGTTCCTCACTCCGCGCTCCCTCACAGTAGCAACAACGTGACATAGGAATAATTTTTGATCGGACCTTTAATATATACTAGTTAATTCTAAACAGTACAGAGTTGTCATTCTTGTTTTGTAAAGACATTTACAAAATATGATCACCTTCTTGATCATGGTGTCTCTCCTGCCAGTTAAGTATTTTGAAAAAGTGACCTATAAAAAGCATTTTGAAAAAGTGAACTATATTGAGAAATGTGTCCCAGAATGTAAATAAAAACTGTAATTGAAGGAGAGAAAGATGAATTCCCCATAACTGCCATTCTCCACTGATAATTTTGAATAATGTACATAACGCCGAGCACTGTGTCTTTTCAATTAATTAACAGTTATTTTTGTTCTAAACACAGGAAGGTTGAGTTTATAACTCATGTTGCGAGTTTAGACATGTAATGCTGACAGGAGGGATGTGGAAACTGGTTAAAAAGAGCAATATATATTCACTGTCACATGGTCCCAACAATATGCTTCGGTGTGGTGAAATACTCCTCTTGATATTCCATGTATCTGGTCAGAGTAAGTATGAGACCACAAGGTGGTGCCTGCAGTCACACAGTCACATATGATGGAAACAGTGGTAATGTCTAGACACTTCTCTACAACCTACAACTCACCTCCCATTTTCTGACTACCTTAACTGACAAGGTATATGACACCATAGTACAGTAATACACAAGTCTCCGCAGAGCACAAGGCAAAGGAAATTACAACCAAAATCCAATAATCAGAAGGTTAATTAAGTGCAAAAGACCACTCCAAAGACACTTAAAATAGCTGGACCTCACTCACAACTCTCTCAAGGCTTGTTCACTCCCCCAGCGTCTTGCAATTATCATTTTCATACCAAGGACACTAAACATTTTTGCAAACTGTCTAAACTTAATTTTACACGCAGACACTCATATGAAGAGTTTTAAACAGCAAATTAGTCATTCAGAGAACAAATTTTATTTTTGAACATGAAAAATTTACCGAGGTCCGGACCTCGGTGACCTCGTAGCTGGTTATGACCATGGTGTAAAGCAAGGAAAAGAGTACTTTTAGATAAACACGTAACGTAATTAAAGTAGACTAAAGTCTATTTAAATGCTTTGCCACTTGCTTCAGCAACTATATAAGACGTTGAATAATACATTGCTCATATTTATTGCGTTTAAACATGAATACATCTATGAAAGATGTATGACTTTAGAGCCTTTTCACACTGAACGTGAAAATTGGTGTGAAGGTTCGGCGCGATGATGAACAAAATACTTCTTCGCACTGCAGAGGTGGTACAGAAGCTGCATTTGTTCAGAAAGCCTGATTCATTAACAAACTGATTTGTTTGGAATTATTTATTGGCAAAATAAAGCAAAAACAGTCAGAATTTACAATCTGTTTACAAACTGTTTGTTTTGAGAAATTCTTCTTCTTAATGGAAACTGATCTCTCAGAAAAAAAGCTGTCACTGGGGCGGTTACTCTTTCAAAAGGTACTAATATGTACCTTTAAGGCAGTAATATGCACCCTTTAGGGGTAAATAAGGTACAAAGGTGTACCTTTTGACGGGGTAATGCCGTAGTGACAGATTTTGTCCCTTTCTGAGAGTGGGTATTTTGTTAGGAAGTCTTTACTACCCATGCAAACTGAACACTTGACCTTT